ACACCTCACAACAGTCCTTTCTGAACCCTATAGGCCTGGCATTGCTCTACGTTAGAACCCTTATAGAAGGGTTCTAAACTCATGGAAAACCACTCGGGAGCCCGAAATGAACTCTAGTGAAACTCTAGGCGGAACTCTTAAACCCGATAGCAGGCTAGAAGGCACTATAGAACCCACGGAGCTTGCTCAAATAGTGTAAGGGCTTGCAAAGTCAGGTTTGGCGGCATTTAGTCTTATATTCATCGATTGGGTTTGGGGGCATTCTTGTGGGGTCACGGTCTCAGCGACTTCAAAAGGGCAAGTGTATATCATGATTGTGAAGACCACCAGAGACCCAACAAATCCCAAGCCCTTGTAGAGCCCTAAAGCCTAAACCCTATAACAAAACTCCCTAAGCCCTAAGCCCTGACCAAGAACAGCGAGATCCCCAATCCTGAGAAACAAAAATCTAAACTCTAAACCCGTCGAGAATCCCCAGGGTTTAAGGTTTAGGGTTCAGAGCCCTAGCCTGCGCACAGCCCGCAAAGCCCCAAGCCTGCGACCCAGCAGTGGCCACACGAGTCACCGAAGGCTCCATGGCCTGCTTGCGCGGCTCCCTTTCAGGCCTTCTACATATTTAGGTTTAGGGTTTTTAGCAGCACAATCACTCTGAGCTCAAAGCCACATATTTAGGTTTAGGGTTTAGGGGTAGATTTTTTTGGCCCTCCTACCGAGCAAGGACAAGGACGCATTGCTAGGGTTTACACTCTCACAACTCGGGCATGCGAAGCGCGAGGGGTCTCACAGGGTTGGGTCGGCGTGGTACAGCTGAGATGATCCCCTGTCCACGACTACTCACAAAGCCTATAAGACAATGAAACAGCTAAAGTAAAGGAACTCACAAAGTCACGAGTCCTGGTGCAGGGCTTCTGCGAATCTACCGGGTGGCAAACACCTGCAAAGTCAGGTCTCGAGCCTAACCCTAGGAGTCAGCGACAACCAAAGCACTCGAGGCTAAGACTGGATTTAAGGTTTAGGGGTTTCTACATAGGGTTTAGGGTTTAGCGCTCCTCTGAAGGGTTCCGCAGAGCGTTCAAAAAGGATTTTACAGAGTCTTTTGAAGGATTCCTTTAAGTGTTCCTTAAAAGGTTTTACAGCGTCTTTTGTAGGGTTCCGTATCGGATCCTGCACCTAGTGCCAAGAACACAAGAACATCCTTTTCCCAAAGCTCTCAAAACCGAGAATCCTAGACACCCCGTGCATCTGGTATCTGAGCATCTCTTCAGCTCTCAATACCTGAGAACCCTGCGCATCTACCATCTGAAAACATCATTCCGAACGCAATCGCTCCACTCCCTGGGATAGGTACTCCACATACAAGATCCCCTTTTTTGCATCCAGGACTCTCGCAACCAGCCGGGGCAAGATCCTCCTGAACCCTAAAAACCCAACCACCCCCCTCAGTTTCTAAAAAGCCCTGACGAAGACCAAAGGCGCCTTGCCGCTGTCGGCCTCGCTTCGATGTGGATGGGGCGTGGAACCTCCCGTGGCACCGGTCGACCTCGACGTTTTAACAATGGCAGCAGTCATACTGGTAGTAGCAGTGGTAGTAGGAATAGTAGTAATAACAGCAATATATCATAATCGAAACAAAGACAGGTTAAAGATTGTGGTAATAATCGTAATATTGGTAATACTAGCAGTAGAAGACCTTGTAGAAGTAAAGGAATCACCGTGGCACTACTCCGGCAGGTGTGGTTTCGGAGGGTCCGTAAGGCTCTCCCAAGGTATGTATCGTTGCTTCCAATGCGGCCTTGAATGACAAAACTCATCACCCGTACAGTTGCAAAATTCTTCAACTAATCACAACAAAAGGCACAAGAAACATATGAGCTGCAGATGGGAGGTATTGGGAGGTCATATTTCAAGACTAGCAGCAGAGGTCATGGCCAGAAAGAAACTAGACCATAACTCCATAAGCATGGTCATAGTAAACATGCTCCACGCTGTAGTGAAAGTTATGAGAATAACATCACAATCAATGTAATGGTAGGATTGAACATTACAAACGGAAGTTTCGGCAACGACCTAAATCAACTTCCCAAACCTGAAACAAATGTGCCCGCGAAACAGAGCCATGTTTGCAGAGGCTTTTCTCAACAATCACACTGGCAGATCTTAGTGACTACGTAGCGTAGTAGCCATATGAGTGGTGCAAGGAGGCAACTCACTGCCTCTTACTAAGTAAGAGTAACTTCAACCCGAAATGCTATAGTCCACATCTGGGCCCAGGGCTTCTCCTCATGATCTCCGGCTCCGGTTAGAAGCGGTGGTGCAGGAGGTGGGCAGGCATAGCCTTGACTTGGCTGGGTTGGCGTTTGGGAGTTTTAAGATGTAGGTTGAGCCGGGCGGCAATGTTTCTAAGTGCGTGGTTACGGGCAGTTTTTTTCATCTGTGCCCGGTAAACCTAAAATCCTACACCCTCTTAGCAACTCGGACTATGAACTGCATGTGAGATGTGGTTTGCAGCTTTGGGTTGAGTCCTGATTCACTGGAGATCCGAGAGCTTCTCGCATGATTGCCAGCCCTTCGTTTGGAGGTTCTCTCAGTTGGGATCCGATTCCCCTGTCTTTGAAGGGTCCTGATGATGACAAGAGTGACAGGCTCTTTCGGTGACGGCAAGATCTAACGTTAGTGCTCCCGCTTTTCTTGGAAGTCCGAATCCTAGGGCATATAGCTTCCGATTGGAAATCCAACTTAAGGGGTGAGACGTGTGCACAAGCACAGCAGGCCCTGTGGGACGAAACAGTTTCGATCCGTCCATTTGCCTAATCTACCTGCCATTTCTCGGCTCTTCGCGATTTACCTGGAGCTTCTACCAGGAGGCAGTGACAGTACTCTTACTGACTACTGGTCTTTCTGTCAATGCAATGTGAAGCGAAGGGCATGGTGCAAAGGTGTTGGGGTAAGGAGCAAGCTTCTGAATTCAAAGTCTGAACCCCAAACTCGAGGGTAGCACTACATGCTGCAGGTGTCTGCTGCATGCAGCGCGCGGTAAGTTCCATCTGCCGAAACGCGTGGAACCGATCCATCGCTGCTGAAGAGGCATCGCAGCTGGAGGAGTAGGAGTATTACCATCAGAATGTAAAGCATTAAGCCAATCAATCCCGGCTGAAAGACGTTTGCCGTAAGTCCGTACACCATTCCAGCGCAGAGGTAGCCGTAAACAAAGGTTGCAATCGCACCCAGACTTGCCAAGACGAATTGCAATGTCTGTGATTGAACGGTGAAAGCCGGCTTCAGCATCCGAAGAAACATGGGATAGAACGTCGGAAAAACCAGCAAACTGGCGACAAACCAGCTTAGCACTTCCGTCAGCCAGCCGTTCTCAAAGGAGGGCAGCCCATGGCGGGACCTGCAGTCGTCGTCGCATTGGAGAATATCCACGGGGCTATAAAAGATCATGGGAAGAGTAGCTACCAAGCACATGCGGTAAGGCACGTGCAGCTGACTTCCGACACTTTCCATCACCGAACAACGAAGTGGACCACGAATGTAGCTGTTGAAAGCATCCAGCGCTTCCTGATCAGTCTGAGTACTAGTGGCACTGTCGCACTGGATCCACACTGTCTCGGGATCTGCCAGGCATGCAGTGGATTTTTCGGCATTTCGAGAAGAGGCAGTCGTCTGAACAACAGGCTCTTCTTCGCCTCGCCACCTGAAAAGTGTCTGGATCTGCTGCTCCACGAAAACACGGTCAGCCTCTATCGTGCATTGCGCCGCTCGGCATTCGAAGCAAGCCATCTGCTCCAGCATCAGCGCGTGGCTTTGCAACTTGGCTTTGCAAGCAATGGTCCAAGGAATCGACGCCAACATGCCCAAAGTCGTTCCCACCAATACACCGAACACCGCCCAAACTGCATCCGTGACGAGCGCACCGGATGCCGAAGGCAGCATCCAGGTACAAAAGGATTGGATGGAACCCAGGGTTTCCTGAGGCGCGCGGACAGTCAGGAAGCTCCAGCAAGTGGCCACTAAAGCATTCGCCACGATTGTTGACAACAGCCAAGGCGCCAACCATAGCGGTAAGAAATGAACCTTCTGAGACCCACCGTACCTTGCAAAGGTAGCCAATTCTAGCTGGCACCAAAGCCTTAGGAAGTAATCGTCATCCCAAAGCACCAGCATGGAGGAGGACCGTGCAACGAAAACATTGAGGGCTTTGATCTGACGATGCTTGAAGTCGTGGTCCGTCTGGTGAATACACAATCGGTCCACCCACATTGAAACGGGCCGCAAGCGATGTACAACGTGCTGGCCGAACAAGAAGACAGCAAGAAACAGCGCGATGGGACAATAGAGCAAGACCGGGAGCAAAAGGAGATTCCCTCCAGGGTGTGTTGTGCAATGCGCATATGCGATCATGACGGCAGTCGCCAGAAGCCAGGCGGTCAGGGAGCATACGACAGCTGCTGTCAGATTCGAGTAGAGGCACAATGCCAAGTACTTCGCCCACCGGGCGGAACCCCAGCGATGGCTTACGAAAACGTCCACGTTCTCGGCGCAAGAAGATGACTCGAAGATGAAGGATCCTGCTTGAAGCACCTCTTGCTTAGTCGGAATCTTTTCAGGGCGAAAGCCAGCCGCTCCAAGGAGACCTGGCAACCCGTGCATGAAGATGGCTCCTCGCTGGGCGAGGATCACCGGGGCAGTGGTCGCTCGGAACAGCCCTTCTGCACAGACATCATCGAAGGATTCCGGTCGGCGCAGCCGGTCCATGATATCGTCTTGTTTAGCCACACTACGGGTGAGGGGTCCGAGAAGCTTCAAGGTACGCTCAAAGAAAGCGCTTCCATCTTGAGGTGTGTTATGCGCCTTCGAGATGCTAGGCGGCAACGAGTCAAGAAGCGTGAAATGTCCAACCTCTGTCATTGAGCCGCATCTCTTTGAAAGGCTCATGTCGGGAATTGATTCGGCCATTGCAGCATCGTCTCTGAGACGTGAAAACCATTCCCAAGCCTTGTGTCCTTCAACTCTCGCGAATCACTACCATATCGTAAGACCAGCGCTCAAAAAATCGTTGAATGAGGAAAGCCTGGGAACTTGCGGGTCCACGGATGTGTCACAACTCGAAAAGAACCAAATCATCACATTACTCTTGTGATAAGTATTACTGTGAGGATTGCTGCAAACTTTGCTGTTGCTTAGTACTATTGCTCTACTAGACTAGACTGATGATAATCCGAAATCTAAAGTCTAGAGCTATCAACCCTGAATCGGTATGAAGGGCCACTGGGCTAACATCGAAACCCTGAAACTTGGGATCACTTAGGAGCAACAATTGACACCCGTAGTGCAGCAGACGGCCATGCTCTAAAGCTTAATCCCTGCGAGCCCTACATCTGAACCTCAGGACGGTGAGGACCCCTAAACCCTAAACCACACCTGAACCCCAAGACTCCTTCTTTGCAACCAGGCGTCTTAACCCAAAAATCCTCAACCCTGGAACTTGAATCCGAAACCCTAAACCTCAACCCCAAACCTGAATCCGAAACCCCAAAAGTCCAAATGCTGGACCCAGCCGGGCTGCGTGAGCGAGGACTATCTCCGGAGCTTTCACGCGCACTCTGGCCGGTGCTCGAGGGCGCCTTTACCACAGGGCCCAATCATTATCGGATTTCGGGCGTCTGTTACAAGGTTTTAATTAAAGTACAGGGTCTGTAAGGGGTATACGGCCTTGCGAGGTTTCATAAGGGTTACAAATGCCTAGCTTCGGACTTGCAGACTGCCAGTAGAAGTTTCTTGATCGGGGCTTCAAAAGCCTTCGCTATGAGGGGTTTGTGTTGATGGCTTCTGGCTAAGGGGTGTTTAGGGGTTAGAGGCTAGGGGTTTTGGTAAGGCTTTACAAGCCTCCGTGGGCTGTATCTAATCCAAGCGGTTGCTAAGCCTTAAGTTCATACACATTCCAAGTCCTAAACTCTGTAAGGCATACCTGTGATGTCTACCCTTTCCGCATCTGCCCAAGTTTCTGTCGTAACAAATTGGATTCCATCGGCTACTCTTTGCATGGTCCCCAAAACAGTAAAATCCGACAGATGATGTGGCAAGAAGCATAGGTGTCTTGGAGCACCCTACAGTAGAGGTTCTTTGAAAAGGGCCGGTGTCACTAGCACTAGCATCACGAACCCAACCAGGAGAAGGGTGGATGATTATCGTACCATGGTTTGGGGTGCTGAAAAAAGATCGGGTAGGTTACAAAGGCTCCGAAATGAGCCACGGTACCAGCGACGCCACACGACATACCCTGGCCCATGAACTTGACTGCACACCCGAGTCCACGAATGTTGATCCACTCACGCTCACTTCCTTCACAAGGGGCCCTACACCTGACGCTGAAAATACCTGAGGGGAAGCATCCCAATTAAAGCCGCAAACGTGAAACCGCCTATCCAAATGCCCCCAAAGAAGTCAAGCACCGTGGTTGTGAACGTCGAGCTTGTTGAGCTATTGGGCTGGTAGCTGGTGCTACCCTTGCCTCGGTCCATCCAAGGGTTTAGACTGCATGGGAGCTTCAAACTGAAAGGGGACCCGTGCGCCGATCCTTGCAGCATCCGTTTTTTTCAGGACCACTGAATGTTCCTAAATGCGAGGAGCAACCAACCCTGATGCCACCTCAACCCCCGGGTTCCTGTGTCCCAGGCACCGGAAGCCCAGAAGCCCCACCAGGCTCTGCCAAAGCTCTTTGACAAGGTGTCGATGCTTTTCTTTATAGAGGCTACAGGTACCTAGACATGAAGGAAATGAGGCCTCTCTTTCTCTCGTGACACAGGTTGTCTTTACTTGTGGAGATGGCCAAAAAGCATGAAATGCCTACACCTGAAGCCTTCAACGGACCACTCTAAACCCTTTCAACCCCAGCGACCGAACCCCGAAAACCATGAAGCTCTGCACCCCAGCCCCCACATCCAAAGCCTCAAAATCCAAACCCCCAAGCCCAACCCGAAACGCTGAAAACACAAACGCCCGAATTTGCCTGGTGTTCGACCGAAGAATTGGGTGAGTCATGATAGTTGCATCAGTCTATCCAGCTTCTGAAAATGAGAGCAAAGATACACATGTCCAGCTACCTTTAGTTTGGGGGCTGAGCATCCCGGCGTTTCATTACAACAGGAACTGGTGTGCTCAACAAGGCTACAGGTTACCACGCAGGCTCTCAGGTTACAAAGCTGTCCAAGGCTACCTGGCATGCTCGTCATCTGGGCGGCGTAAGCTACTATAAGAGCCTGACTAGAGTAGGGGTTTTTGGTCGTGTAGTTTAGATTAGGGCCCGAGAAAGGCAGATTATGGAACATGAGCCCTTAGCAGCCTCAGTGGTCCAACCGTTGTATTTTGCAAGCATTCCTGAGCCTTAGGGCTTTCGGTGCTCCCTAGACAGACTTGAGCCAAAATACTTTGAGCCAAAACCGGAATCCCGTACGTCCAAAATATTCCAAAACCTTAGATCCCAAACCCTAAGAACTTACTTTTGCAGCCAGGCCTCCAGAGAGATGCTAGGAATCCAAAACCCTGTAAAACCTATATATCCTCCAATCCGCAACCCTTCTACAACCCTTACAGCCTAAACGTTAGTTGCTACAGCACCCGGCCCAGTGGCTGGCATGTGAGTCCTCCCGATGTGCCGACAGCCACTGGTCAGACAGCAGGTCCTGGAGAGAGACAGAGAGAGAGAAGAGCCTACACAAAAAGAATAGCACAGGGGTCTTCGTAGTTCGAACAAGGTTTGAATCGGGGTTCCTTAAAAGGCTGTGGTCAGGGTTGCTGAATAATCAGAATAGGCCGGTTGTGCTATGACTGTTGAGGGACTGGTACGGGGTAGCCTGAGCATCCCGCAATAAGGATCCTAGATGATCCTAGTAGCTCATAGTCTACATATCAGGCTTGCCATATTGAAATTCCGGCCTAGCTCTTTAACCCTAGACCCTATACCCAAACCCCAAGGCCCCAAACCCTACAAACCGCCCAAGTTCTGCGACGCATCGAATGGTAAGACGTTCTGTGGGGCCGCAAAGCCCAAGTTGGGGCCTGCTTGGGGCCTCTGGACCGGGCTGCAACCTTCAGAATCTTAAAGAAGCCTTTAATGGGCCGTCGGTATGTGGGAATAGTATCGTCATCCTTACGCCAAGCAAAGCGAGAAGGCCTAGCTGAAGCACAGGCAAGCCTGAACCCTGCAATGCCAAATGAGGCCGCCTTCAACAGTCAGGACCGACTCCCAGAAAAGCTCAGTGAATGGCAAGATTCTATGACTGAACCTTAAACCCTAAACCCCTAAAACCCCTAAACCCCCATAAACCCGTATAAACCCCTTTTTAACCCTCAACCGCACAAATGTGGGCTCCTCCACAGTAGGCCGTCTGGCCATATCGGCGGTCAGCGCACGCTGCACCATGGCCTGAACAAGAGAAGGCTGCAGCCATGGAAAGAAAAATATAGGGTTTAGGGTTTAGGGTAGAGAGATGGCTTTTATGCCTATGATGGGTATAGGGTTTGTAGGTGGATTTTCGGATTGTTTTTTTCCGGCTGGGGGCTTCTCTAGTCGTGGAGTCATGTCATGCTCAGACTTCCAGGTTTCCAAGGCCCCTTTTCCCCTTGAGGCGAATCGAACTCTAGGATTTTTTCTTCCTCAGCTTGGGCCTTGTCCCTTGGAACATCGGGCTGTCAACCCCGAATCCCTCAACCCAAAGTTCATCCCTCGACTGGAATGCGTCAAAGATGACAGTAGTATGATTTTGTGATAGTAAAATAAATGGACATATGATAGTAGCATTATAATATTTTGTGATAGTATACTATCTGGTACTAGTACAGGATAAAGTGGCAAGGCCCCAGAGTGAGAAGCCTAGGGGCCCCCTAAGAAGAGGGAACTCTGAATAGATTAGGGGAGTTCTCAACATTAGGGGCCGCCCTTTTTGAGGGTCCTTCTTATATGGGGGGCCGTACTCTTTTGGTGACCCTTTCCCCCAAGTTTTAGAAAGACCGAAAGTTAAAACAGACCAGGGTTCCTGCAAGGGTTCGTCTATGGGGCACCAGAAATATCGTATTACTCATTCAGACCCCTAGATCACAATGCTACGATGACCCAGGCTGCACTCTTGCCCTGTAGCCATTTTAGCCTCTCATGGACACCAAGGACTCAAAGAAAGCGCTGTGCTCGTGGAGACTTCGGACTTTTGGGACCATGGACCATGGATGTATCGTCAAGGGCAAATTCTTTTTGACACTCACACTCGGACCAGCCTGGCGAATTAGGGTTTCGGGTTTATGGGTGCCCATGATGGCATGCTAGGGCGTTTGTGGTTCAATCCTGCCAGTCATGCAGCCGACTAGGCTGCCGAGAATGGTTCTTAAGTGCAGGTGACTGCTTCATCGACATACTGGTCAGGCAACAAAACCTGAGACATGCAGGATAATTAGGATTTACGGGCGCCGAGCTTGGGGCTGGCCTTGGCACCATCACCAACGAATTCCTTGGCGCACGGGTGCATGCCAGGAGAATCAGGATTGCGATCCAACCCAAAAGCCCTCTGCCGAAATGCAGCGCGGAAGATCGAACTCTTGTCAGTGGCGCTTCAAAGGAATGCAACTCGTGGTTGTGCAGTAACAGCTTACGCAGAACAAGAAGCTGCCTCAACTCTCCTGAATGCACAAAGCTCCGGTTGTTAGCGTTGGATCATGATCACAGGCTTCAAGCGATTGAAACCGACCCGATGGCTTTGTCGCTGCAAGCCTCGACTCTAAAGCAACAGCTGGAAAGCTGAATGCCCCGCAACAACCAACCTCCAATGCACGAAACCCGCAAGCCCTGAACAACCCAAGCTCCGCCAATACGCCCAAGTGAGCAACAGCTACCTTCCAGGCCAAGAACATCTGCTCGAAATCTTGAACTTGTGACACACCTTAAACCCGTAACAGCGCTGAGATATGCCGCGGGGCTGGGATGTGAAACACTCCTCGTACGATTTTCCGGTAGAGGTCGCCTCGGTCCGTCTTGCACGAGCAAGTCTAAAGGGTTTAAGGCTTGGGGGTTTAGTGGTTAGGACTCTTGCTTCTTCTTCCGACTAGGCGGATTAGGGCTCAGAGGTTCTATCCAAGTATCGGAGTACGCTTAATTGCTTTTCACCACTCATGTAGGGGCCTGAATGATCAAAACAGGCTGGGGGCTATAGTGGAGCAAAAGTACATGGGGACAAAAGCAGGGGACATACTTACCGGTTACTCACGCCTCTGCTTCAAGCGTTTAGGGCTTGCAGTGGGTAGGGGTTCATGGGGCTCTTGGTGGGGAGCAACAAGGGAGGCCTTTTCTCCCGTCAGTAGGAAGCACATGTCACTTTGTGGTTTGCTTCTTTGCCGCTCGGCTTGCTGTGCAAAACTTCACAAGCTTACCTGCAGGTTTCCCCCTTCTTCCCGACTACAGCATAACCATAATTTATGAACGCAGATCTCAGAACCCGTTCCCAAAGAGCCAAATACCACGTAATGAGGAGTAGGTCTTGAGTCTTGAAAGATAGAGGGAGGGCTTCTTGGCATGATGTGCGGGTGTTCCTTGATGAAGATGTATGGAGCTCCCTGGGGTAAATCCGAACGGGACACCAGCCTTAAGCTTGTGAGGTGGTGCTCTTGCAATTGGCTGCGAGCTTCGTGTTTCGGTTGGGGGCCATCCTTGCAGAAATTGGGCGGGGCGACACCTTCACTAGGAGCCCTTCTGTCGACGATCTGAGCATTATAGGGGTCTTTCTTAGGTCTCTTATCTTCTGCCGTGCACGCTTGGGGTTTGCAAAACTCCCTACATCCGAAATCAGACCAGGAACATCTCGGGCATTCAACTCTGTACGCCTAAGCCTCGAAGCCAGAATACTAAGCTTTAGCCCCGATCTTCACCCAATCCCTTACCTGGAGAGAAAGCCGGGCTTTCAAAACCCAAATGAATGCTTTCGCCGGTTCACGGTCATTTTGCCCGCGGAAGGGGAAGCTACCACAAAGGAGGGCATAGAGCAGAACGCCCATGGCCCAGATATCTGCGCAAAAGCCTGCAAGCAGGGAGTTCCGGGTTTGCAAAGGTTGGGTGCGCCAGAAAGCTTGCAAAAAAGGTCGTAAAGCTAGCCCATTTTGCTAGGACAGGCCTTGCCAAGACAAGTCTCAGGAGTGCTCAAAACCCGCCCATCAAGTAGAATGCCTGAAAGCAAAACCAGCACCTCCGCACGACTTTGAGCCTACAAACACAAACACCTATGCTCCTGAATACTGTGGCCGGATTCCTTTGAAGTGACGAAACGTGGCCTTCGGACACACTCGAAGACTACATGGTCTGGCACTTGCCCAAAACCTCAAACTGCCTGCACCCAAAGACTTGGCGACCGCCTGCAGGCACTGCTTTTTATTACACAAGGTTTTCACATCAGCTGGCCACTGCTGGATGTAGACCCTGTCGTCCTGATCCTCATAAGGACCCCTGAAAAGGCAGCCCTAGTCGTTGTAACGCAACCCCGCATGATGCCCGCATTCTGAGCCTGGCCTGTGTACTCCTTCCTGGCCACAATCTCTGGAGCCTAGCGATTGAAGGCTTCGGACGGATCCGGCTGAAACATAACACTGTGGGCTGCCGTGTTTAGGGGTCGTTGAAGCAAGCATAACTTCACTTGGTGTCTCTACTTGGGTCCCCTGTTTTCTGAAATGCCCTTTTGACAGTACAGCGTTGGGGCTTTCGAACCTCAAGCGCCGCAGCCGAAACTTCTGAGCCATGAAACCATATGTTGGTCTGGAATGTGTGATGGCTTCACGAAGATCACATTGAACGGGGTCGCAGGGGAGGATCAATGGGTCCATAGGTGTCGGAGTAACATGTAGATGTGTCTGGAAGCAGGAGTGGCCAGAGCGAACAATCGGACCATTCCTATGGCCGACTTTCGAAACCATGTCACTCCCCTATCCTGACATCCAAAATGCTACTTACACGGTCATCCAGAACTCCTGTCCGTGGAAACCTGAGACCGCACCTGGATTCTAAACAGCGACTCTTTTTCGACCCTATAGAGCCAAAGAAAACTTGGGATAACTCTACCCTAAACTTCTACAACTTCTAAACTCAGCCAGGGAGGCCATGTAGGAGGGAGTGCCGCAGAAGACCTTCAACTTCTTCCCCGGTGGGACGATGGTGGAGAAGCCAAAGTCGATGATCTTCACCTCGACAGCAACGGCTAGGAGCCCAAACTGGAAGCTTCAGACAATGGGCACCTTTCATAAATATTATACGTAACCCCAAACACAAGGGCACTCAGGAAAGGGCCTCCAAACAAGAACAAAATGCCCAAGCTGGTTTATGTATTGTTTCCCACCGGGTTTTGCACCTTTTGCGGCGGGCTTGCCTCGTCGCCCGGAAGCTCCCTCTCCGCCCAAAACCGCGAAAGACGAAACCCCTAAAGCCCAAACACTAAACCGTGAACCCTCGATCAGAGAGCTTTTCGCGAGGCGTTTGGGTTTAAGGTTCGGGGTTTAGGGTTTTAGCGTAGTCTTTCCTCAAAGCCTGACTTCATCAGTGTGTTGCAGGAAATTTAGGGAGTGAGGGGGTTGGGCCTGATCCGAACCAAAAGAACATAAGCCAAGTAGCAGTGAACGAACAGCAGTGTAACCAGTGGGACTCGCCAAAAACTCAACACATGAACTGGGATCCCCAACTGGTAATAGACTTCGCGCAAGGAACGCATCACGACTCTGCACGCTTGCAGCAAAAAGAGCCTTTGTAATGGCTTTAGGGTCAAGTTGGGGTTCAGGAGCGATCTCCAAGTGACATCCGGCATGACTTACTTCCTGGAAGCTTCGGCCTTGCTCTACTGTAGGTTCAGCATGCCCTGGACCACTGGAAAAGCCAAGCTTTCAATCCCTGTACGCCCTAAGGCCTAATAAGGCTTAAACTCTTGGCCCTGAACCCCTGAGCCCGGAAGGCAACGGTGGCAAATTCAAGACTGCAGCCAATGGTGCAGCTCCCTGCTCATCCAAGAGCAAATTCTCGAGCTTCCTCAGCTCTTCCAAGGTTGTCAGCATTGGGTTTCGGGTTTTGAGGGTTTATTTTTGAATTGTAAGTTCGTGATTGGATTGTAAGTGCTTGAACTTCCATAACCTAGGCCCTAGGCCTTCACGGCTCATTCTGGTCCGATAAATCCTCACCCTTACGGAACCCCCTCCGCCTACTTTACCTTTGCAGCTTCAAGATTTGCTTCGGCCCAAGGTGGCATGGCTGATGCCACCAGTGCTACCGAGCCGATAAATCTTGGAGTCGAGAAATGAATAATCAATAGTATCCCTAGTCCTTACAAATTGTAGTGCGACCTACCTCGAAGCCCTGCTTCATTTACTGAGCCCCCCTCCTTATCCTTCTACTACCCGGGGGCATGCAAGGCCTGAACCCGAAAGTGCGAAATGAATGATGCAGCATCATTGAAACCGCTTTTTTTGCGCCTTGGGCCTTGGCTATGATCCAGCTGCACCCTGCAACCCTAAACCCTAAATCCGAAACCGACTCCTAGTTTATTCGACGGACAGCTGACAATCTCCAGGCATTTTGAAACTGCGGGCGCGAAGCAAGCAGTACGGCAAAGAGCCTCAAGTGGCCTGCTTTATTGATGAGGTTCTAGTGGATGGCTGATTATTAAGGACTGACAAGTTTAGATTGGTGGCCTACAACAGCCAAGCAGCACATCGCGGTGGACGATGTGGCGATCATGTAGGTATTTGATGCCCTGGCACACCTGGCTGAAAACAACTTCGACTCAAACTTTGGGGAGGCGATTTTTCGCCTGAGCTTCAAGCTAACCCTCTGACAACCCTTCACCCACAAGCCAAAACCTTGGGACCCCAGACCTTGAACATCCTAAACTTAAACCCAAAACAGACGACAGCCCAGGCCTGGAAGAAAAGGCGCTTTGCCAACGGGTCGTCGGTGCGCCGATTGGGTCGCTTCTTCCTTTGAGGAGCTTATAATTTGCAGGTGTGCCTGCTGCTTGCATTAGGAAAACAAAAAAGAAAGAAGAGGACTTCCAATCCACGATAAACTCCGACATGTCTACATGCCAAGCTGGAAACCATAGGCCGGGCAGTGCACTTCGCAACATCTGAAACCGCACGGTGCCGGCGAGTGTCAAAAAGTGGTGCAGCGACCCCCCCGAAACGAAATCCATGATCAGGTAGATCTGCTTGGGCCTCGGACGTCGTTGACGGCTGTCTGACCGAATTTTTTAGACTTGCAAACTTTGACAGCTCGCGAGGAGTACGTTTGCACGTGCCAACAGCTGAGCATGAATTGTTTGACCTTTCCGAATAGTCAATGACGTCTTCGGGAGGCCTGATGGCTAGAGCTCATAAAGATTCCGATTTTGTCTACTTGGCACATTCACTCATTCCAACTTAAACCCCAACTTCTAAACTGATTCTAAACCTAACCCTAACTCCTAAGGTCCTAAGCCCTGCCCAAAGGCCAACCGAAGTACAGCTTCTACCTCGAGACAGGAGCAGCCGGTGTGAACTGTCCGGGTTCTGCACCTACGGTTGAGGCTGCAGCAGACGCCCTAAGCACACCAAGTAGCAGCAAACTTCAGGGGGCTTAGGATGTGTCTTGGATTGTTTGGCAGCCGCCTCAGGCTCAGCTGACTTTTGCTCTTGCGGTTGTTTCGGTTTTGAAACCCGGTGTGCATCCCCAATGTTGTTTACTGTAAAGCTTGATAAAGCCCAAGCCCACTCTTGCGAGGAAGAAGGGCGTGTCCAAGGCTTCGTGAAACTCCACGATGTTCGGGTGTCTCAACCGCTCCATAAGCCTGAGCTATGGCATTGGAGGGACTGAAAGTTTCTGGAGCTGTAGGGTTGAAAGGGCCATAGCCTTGGGAGAGCATATGCGAACCTTCTTTAAAAGGGTCCGGTGGTGGAGGGGGGGGTGGGAGTCTGATCTCTTCTGCCTCGTCCCGCCTATAAAAGGACGACAGGGCCCCACAATGGGAGGTTACGGAAGCAGGGAGCCTTAGAGGCCTCAAAACACTCACATTCGGACAAGCCTGGCGTCTGCAGCTGCCGGGCCGAAGGGTCGCAGAGCTTTGGGGCTTTACAGCAGGGATTGGGGTTTAGGGTTTATAGGGTTTAGGGTCCCTAAACCCTAAACTAAACCCTTAAAAGCTTCGGGCAAAATGCTCAGATTCAGGCGCACAGTGTTTGCTGGTTGAGAAGTCGCTATGAGGGTTGAGGCTTGAGGCTTGTACAGTAGTGTCTACGGCAATGCTTGTAGAGTTTGGGGGCGTGGGGTCCAAGGGGTTTCCTATGTGTTGATAAAGAGATACCAACTGGAGTCAACAGGAAGACTGTTCACGACTGATCTCAAAAGTTGTAGCCTAAACGCCTACATCGACTCCCTCCCGCGCTGCCCAGCTTGCGGTCACGGCGCCGGATCTCGCAACGGACGCTTTTCCGCCGTTGCGGATCGAGGAGCTTGTACTTCTCCTAAGCTTCTTAGTTCCTGATGCCACTCTGATCACACTGAACCCCAGGGCCCCAGGCTGGGCGAGGGCTGGGTGGGATTGGCTTCGGTCCTCTCAGGCTCAATGTTCGACAGTTTGGGTTTGGTGGATTTCGGGGCTCGGGATATCCACGCACATAAATGATACATCATACCTGTACATTTACTTATGCATGCAAACATACACAAATACAGGCACATACAAATTAAACTTTAATTAAACACATGATTTAACAAATGCAAATGCATTTGCACATACACCTATACAAACACATACACATACACATGCGCCTAAACATTCATATGATTCATGTACATATATGCATGCACCTACACATACATATACACATACACATAAACACGTACATACGCGCATACGTACATACGCACGTACGCACGCACACATATGCTATATACATGTTTGTGATGTGCAGATGCACATGTGTTTATACACACAGAGAGATGGGAGAGAGAGAGAGAGAGCGAGAGAACAGAGAGAGAGAGAGAGGGAGAAAGACAAATATGGCTTTTCGAGATGGTGGTTTTACGTGGAAACGGTAGGTATAGGCAAATTCGTATTTTTGTAGGTAGGTACGTAGGCAGGCAGGCGGGCAGGCAGGTATAGGTAGGCATGCAGGTATGCATGCATTGCTGTATGCGTGCGCGTATCTATGCATGCAGGTAGAAATGTATGTATGTACGCATGCATGCATGGAGGGATGGAGGGATGCATGTGCCATCTTTCCCAGGCCAAGATTGTGTTCCCAGATGCGTAGATCTTGATGGCCACCTGCGCTCCACTAGGAATCGTGCTTGAGGCTTCGCATTCACATACACAGTAAGGTTCAGCATGCTGCGAGCGCTGCATCATGCTTGCTGGTTTCGCATGTGGCAACATCGACGATGGCAAGGTTCAATGATGTTCGACAGGGGCTCTAATGGCTCTAGTCGCTTTTCCTTCAGCTGTATCCGTACCATGGCATTGCAGATGATAATGATAAGGCCGACGAAGCGGCCTCGTGCTGCTGTTCATTCATCGTCTGCACATGTTAAATCTGAAGGGGGTCGGCACTGCGATTCGCCGCAGAGACACAACAAGCTCGCGTTAGATACGAATACCGCTTGGCCACAAGAAGCAGCTTCGGCATATGGCACCCGGTATCGAGCAGCTTCTATAGTGATATTATGCTAAGCCCTCCAGAGCCTTCTTGCTCGTCTCCTTATGGAGGCCAAAGGCGACTGTCGCATATGCGCCCTGCCCGATTTGCTTGCCCACCTGGGAGAGGTTGAAGCTGTCAGATAACACGTAGCATGTTATAGTTATAGTTTTCGCGAGGCAAGGGCGGGCTCATTTTGTAATCTCGATACAATACTGGGTCGTAGAGACAGAAAAGGGATAGTGAGGGATAGCATGTCTAATCACTCAGAGCTGGGGCTGAGCTTCGGAGAATGCATGCAACCTCCGAATCCTGCCGGCGCGAGAATGTTGATGGCAGCATCCAAAATCGATGCAAGTGTCAAGCAAGACGAACAACGTGTCGACGAAAGACCAAAGCCTTGACACCTAAACCTCGAAGTTTCTTAGACGCCGTAAGCCTGATAAGCCTTATATTTTATGGTGGCCATAGGCAGACTCCCACGTAGACCATCATTCCCTATCAAATGGGAGTTTCAGAAAACCAGGGCACACAATGTAGAGCCCAACCAAAATTTGAAGGACTTCCAGAGACCCACTTCTACCGACCCTCTGGCACGCCCGACCCCAAAAGCGATCCCCCCAAACAGATATCCTTATGTAAGCAACTGAAGCACCAACGGAAGCACATAAACAAACATCTACAAAGCTAAATAGCGAAAACGAAAACCTGAAAAGACAACTGGTGTAGGTATGTGCATATCTATACACAAGAACTGTATGGAGGTCGAGCCCAAGCCACGATGTAGTCGTCCAGGGAACTCCCTGTGAGGCTGGTGCTCGGACGCCCATCGCTCATGTCGTCCTCGGGCTGACTGAGACAGCGAGGTGAAGTGTTTGGATTTGGCTCTTTAGACAAGGATTTCCTCTTTTGAACTTGTTTTCACCATACTGATTTGTTCAAGGACAAATCTTTGCATGCTTGTTTGCGACCAGAGGGATTCTGAACAATGCAGATACGGTTTGGGCGGTTCCAGGGTGCCGCTGCACAGCACTAGCACTAGGATAAGCTTTCAGTCATTCCTTAGCTCATGCACACATCCCTGCATGGGCAAAACCGCACTCTCTTACTTGCATATTGCGCAGCATACTTGCTGCATACTGCATGCATACGCACGAGTACAACACTCCATGGGTGCAAACGTATTTTCGAAGACCGGCAAATGTACACCCTAACAGCCCTTACATACACAAACCTACGGTACAATACAACACAATTCAATACAATACGATGTGATTACAATACAATACAAAATGATATAACAGTTTCAGAGAACAAAATGCAGTACAGCGGAATGCAATGTACCACAATGCGATACAAACTTTGTACACAGTACTTGCTTACTACTTTAAGTCATGACCTTGCCCTGCCTTACCTTACTGCTGCCTGGCCCTACCGTACAATACCTGGACCTTCCAGCACATTATAGCACAGTCCGGTACATTACGCTGAACACAACGCACAGTGCTTGTGTATTTGCATCACAGGCGATACACGACAAAATGAGACAGACCAGGCCAGCCCATGCTGCGTGTGTGCCCCATGCCATGCCATGCCACTCCATGATTACATGTGCATATACAGACACAATCATACACATATCAGATATATCAGAGCACATGCGTACGCAGACACATGGACAAACATTTGCAATGTCATGCCCATCCTCTCTGTGCCTGAGATTCTCTGTTTTGGCTGAGCTGTGATCTGGTACACGGACGCACCTCTAACCGATCAATGCCCACTCTGTTCCAAACACGAGGCCTTTGCCGATCGAGAAAGCCGGAACCATGCCCAGCTTGAAACAGAAACAACCCACGCAGCCCTGGAGCACATTGACATCTAGATAACAACACCGTGAGCCCTAAACCCAAACTCTAGGCCCATCGATCATCAGCCGGAACCCTGCGCACCAAGCTGCCTTCAAAAGCACATCGAAGGAGTCACGCTGCTTGCGGCCGGAGACTTCGCCAGTGGTCTGCCGGGGGGTGTTCTGTAACACTATAAGCTTCGGGCAAAGTGAGCTCTTCGTACGGACGGCGCTATGAAGTACCGCAGTGTCGGAGCATCGACGCAATGTTTGTTGCAGCCGCAGCTCTTTCTTAGACCTGACAGAAGTACAGTGGACTTTGATAGCTGGGGCAAACACTTTACGCTTCGAGACCGAGCCTGAGATTCGCATTTAGGTGACTTTCGCGAATTCGTTTGCAATTATCTAAGCCTAAGCACATCTACATCCAGTTAAACCAACTGACTGACTGCTTTGAAAACTTGTACCAAAAACTGCAATGGAACCTCAACATACACAAGCGCACAAGTCTCATGAAAACTCGGCGTGCCCCTGCTAAGCCGGCATGCGCAGTTAATATGTGTGCATAGATGTACACATACATACATGCATAAATCTAGATACAAATGAGAATACAACTCAAAAACAGAGTAACACAACTAAGTGTAAATGAATGTATGTAGAAACGCGCATACATACATGCATACATACGTGCCTACGTGCATTCATACATACCTACATGCAGACATGCATACAGGCATACATACGTACCTACGTACCTACGTACATACCCTACATACATACATGCATACCTACATACGTACATACATAATTACATACATA